GAGAGAGAGAGAGAGAGAGAGAGAGAGAGAGAGAGGAGGCTGTCTGCTCCTGTAAAAATGTATAGTCTTGAATCCCCTACGTAGGGTCGCTATGAGTTGGAATTGACAGGCTGGCGGTGGGTGGGGGTGAGGGGTTGGGGCAGGAGAGAGGAAGCCGATGTCTGGGCCATGAACCCAACCGCGGACACCCACTCCCCAGCTCCACCATTCACAAGGTGATGGACGGCATTGGGCGAGTCCCTGGTTCTCTTTCTGTGTCCCAGCCTCCTCATCTCGGGGCTCTGCCAGTGCCACTTAGCCGATGTCACAGATCTGCTACCCTTCTGTAGTTATGGTTTACATTTGAGAGCAATGCTTGGTTTTTAAGAAACCCACGAGGGTAACACGAACAGGTTCATCCATAGGAGCACCCTCTCGGGAGGTGGCTGGGCTAACCGGTCTCCTTCTCTTGCAGCTCGACGACTGCGCACTGCAGCTCTCCCACAATGGCGCCTACCTGGATTTGGAAGCAACGCTGGCAGAACAGCGGGACGAGTTAGAGGGCTTCCAGGAGGACGCTGGGTAAGAGTGGCAATCGCCCGCCAGACTGGTGCCTGTCTCCTGGGAAATGGGCAGCCCTGCGGCCCTAACATGGTCCAGACAAACACACAGCTCCAGCCTTCCTCCCATTCCAGCCTCCTCTACAGGAGGGAGAGGCCAACGACCACCAGTGGGGAGGCCAACCAACCCTTTCTGTTTTGAGTCACCTCTTGACCAAGGTGACTCAGGTGGAGCCTGCCCTGGGGAAATTTCTGGAATGGTTTAATCAAGCACAGGTCATTTACATGAATTCTAAATTGTTTTTATTCATATATTTAAACCACCATTGGACTAACACTTCCCAAATTTTTGTTATGGGCAACTCTTTGGAAAATGGTTTGCTCTGATCCTTTACTGGCTGGTTAGTGTTCTTGGCCAAGGCTGCATTGCATTTAATCATTACGACTCATCACAGTGGGGAAATAATGATTAATTATGTTCATTAATAGCATGTTGATTCTTAGTCTCTTCCCAGAGTGACTTCATCTTTCTATTTGCCCTGAGTCTGGAGAAAGCAGTGAACAGAGGAGTCAGAGCTACATCTAGAGAGAGGGATCTCGCTGAGTATTCCCAAGCCTGCAGCCCTTGCTGAGTCCTTGCTGGACCACTGAAGCAGCCTTCGGTGGGACCACGACCTCCCTCCCCTCTCTCCTCCCCCATCTCGAGCCAAGCTCTGATCTCACCACCTTCTGCCTTAGGCTCCCTGTTGTTTTTCAGACAATGCAACTATTTTAATCTGGTGTTCACTTGCCTGAGTGAAAAAAAATACCACAGGCAGCTGAATCCTACCTGAACACACGAGTGTTTCACCAGTGGCTCAAATAATGGGGAGACACTGGAACATTCTCAGGGGATGGTTCCATGTAGCGTCCTAGCTCCAGTGGGTATCTAGGGATTCCTGGGCATCACCTGTTAGAGCACTGGTCACAGTTTACTGTCATTGTTCCCATAACTGCCCCTCTCCATTGCTGCGTTAACACCAGTAGGTCTGAATGCCTGGCACCTCCCATTTTCCCAGTACCCAGCAAGGACTAGGAGCCCTAGTGGGGAGGTGGGTTACCCCCAGCCATTCCACGGGAGAAAGATGCACTACTGGGGGAACTCCACATACCGATGCCCATTCTCCCAGGTGCTTCATGGAGAAAGGGGTTCTCCTGATGTAAAGATGTGCAGCCTTGAAAACCCATGGGGGCAGTTCTGCTCTGTCCCATAGGTCATTGTGATGGCAGTGAGTTTTGCAAGGACTGGTGGCCAGGTGAACGGCAGGGTCCCAGAATGGGTCCCTGTATGGTGTGGCTGTGAGCCCCCCGAAGGCCAGAATCCTTGGGAGGAGCCAGCAGGATTCTCCAGCGAGACCTGCTCTGTTTCCAGAGTGGTCCTGAGGGTGGCACTGCGTGCGTGGGGAGGACCTGAACCACCCTACGCTGCAGGCACACGCGGGCATCACGAGGCCATGCTGCATTCTGTCCACCATTCTTATTTTTTTAATTTTTTTTCTTTTTTTAAAAATGAACACTTTGACAGAAAGATGGAAGGGAATGCTTCGCCGCTTTTACCAAGCGTCGGACGGTGACATTCCTTTTGCCCAAGATGTCAACATGCAGGCTCGATGGCGGTCTAATTGGGTGACATCATGGCTCGTTGATCACACGGACCCCAGGCGTGTTATGAGTAGATTATTGTCAGCTTGAAAAATGTGTCTCGTGGTATAAGCTTGAAGACCTTCTCCCGTTTGACTTTTTCCCCTTCCTTAAAAAACGGAGAGACACTGGAGAGGGCGAGATCTCGGCAGGGGAGGGTGGGGAGGAGCTGATAGCCGAGGTAACAGCAGCCACAGTGAAGCGTGGAGAAGAACAATACTTACGGGCCCCCCAGTAGTCTAAGCAAACACCAGGTACCTTCTTCACAGCACGTTTCTCACGTTCATCCTCATAGCAGTCCAGTGTTTGGTTATTACTGTCTCCATTCTTAATTGAGGCAACTGAGGGTCAGGAGTCATTTACACACCTAGCAGGACAGACCCAGTGCACGGTGGAGCCGGCTTTGAAGGCAGGTGTTACCAGTCCCCCAGCGTGCATCCATCCATGGCCCCAGCCAACTTCCAGGAGCATCTGGGCAAAGGGACTTCTGCTTTTACTTAGCAGTGAGCACCTTTGTATCTTGGGTGACTTGAGGTCAATTCACAAGAGGCTGTCAGTTTACAGCTTGAACACTGTCCGGGTTTGGACAGCACCCAGACATACTGTGTGGGGCTCCAGAACAAACATCATTGCTACCACTGTCCAGAGGCCGGCACCTTCTTTCTAGCTGTTTGAGGGAGACCAGGGGCTCTGCTGTAAGCTCCTTGGGTGGATTTTGGTGCATAGGTACCTACTGTGTTTCCTTTTAAGTCACCATGTTGCCGTGAGCCCATCAGATTGCCGGAGCCTAGGTCACCTGTCTGATTTTAGCAGCAAGAGCTGGTGGGAAAGGGAATCAGGGCAGCACTGACAAGGTGGAGCTTAAGATGTGGGGAACAGCAAATGGGAAGGCACCCCAAAAGATGTTGGATAGCTGAAAATTTGACTGGGCACTCCAAACTCTCCCCAGAGTGGGGCCTTGTGTCTTGGAAATAGTCCTTGCAGGCCATGTGAAATAGAGAGGGAGGGGGTGGGGTGGGGGGAGAGCAAATGCGCGCGCGCAGTGTGTCGGGTGAGTTTTCCTTGCTGGAAGGGTTTGTTCCTGTCTATTACCCTTCTCCTGTCTAGCAAGATTAAAAATTAACTCACTCGTTGTTTGGAATTATCACTCAAGCCATGGCTAATCAGAGAAGAGGAGAAAGACCTTCAGAAGCAGAAGGGCAAAGTAATGATTCTGCCAGCAGCGTGGAGCCAGGTCTGTTCTCTGCCTTCCGAGGCCAGGGGGAAACAGTGACGTGGAAAGAAAAGCGTGGAGCCTCTGTAGATTCCCAGTCCTGCCGCGCGGTGACCTCGGGCAAGCCACAGGGTCTCTGGGAGGGATCACTGGTCTACAAGATCACAGTACTGCTCACCCTTGGTTCCCTCCCAGGGGTCCTGATGGGTGCTGGCGCCCAACAGGAGTGGAGCAGAGCTCAGCATAGCCAGGTGGCATGGAGTGTGGGCTCTGCAGCTGGGCCGTCACTGTGCCTCGAGGCCAGGAACTCAGCTGGGCCCTTGATTACAGCTCTCTGAAAATCACCCAAGCAAAGTCCTGGGCCAAATGACAGAGAAATGTGGAAAAAAGCTTGGAATCATGAAGAAAAAAAAAGACCACACGCACTGGTCTAATGGTGACCAGGTCACACCCCAATACTGTGTCCCTTCCCCACTGTCGTCACGTCAACTCCATCGCATGACGACACAACAGGGCAGAGTAGCATTGCTCCATCGGGTTTCCGTGGCTGTAAATCGTTACGGAAGCTCCACCTTTCTCCTGAGGAGTGGCTGGTGGGTTCAAACCTGTGGCCTTTTGGTTAGCACTCTAGTCCTTCACTTCTGTATGACCAGGCCCATCCATGCCTTTCAGACCTGGAATTGACCCCACGCCTGTGCATCACCTTCCAGGCAAAACCCAGGCCTATGAAGTGATCAGAAACACCTGGGAGGAAGGTTGTACTCTGAGCAACCTTGTGCTACCCAACCTTGTGCCACCCACGGTTGTCCCACAGCAAAGCCCAGAGGGGGGGGGGGACTGGAAATGGGGACACTGAAGGTCCGTGGAGGGGACTGCAACTCCTGCCACAGCACCAAATGTGCCTTGACTGTTGAACGGAGAATGAATGGGCTCTGTGAACGCCCACCCAAAGACACCCAGGTGCACGTGCACACACACACACACACACACACACACACACACACACACAGAGGTAACGCAGGATTTCAAGGTGCCCTTGTTTTCCAGAATAGCTGGGCAAGTAGGGGCTCCCCCAGGCTCCATACCTGGCAAATGAACCTCAAGATAGGAGGTGGGCATGGGAATCACTCGGCTTTAGGTCTGTAAGGGTCTTGGCAGGTCCACCATTCTGAGATCCCGGTTTCCAGTTGGGAAAAGCAAGACTGAGGCTGGGTCTGCAGGGCTGAGCTGGCTCTCGCCCCACCCCATCCCCCCACCCCTCATTCTTACCTGGCCCGGCCCTCTGATAAGAACCTGTGCCAGCTGAGTCTGCAGTGGACCCTCTTGGAGAAGGTTAGCTCTGAGGGAAAAACTGACTTGGAGAGGTGGAAGGGATAGGAGGTGAGAGGTGTGGCTTGAGCCAAAGAGTGGGCCGGAGAAACCCAGTGATTTGGGAACGCCATCAGGACCAGGGTGATGGTTGGATTCATCATAGGCATTTCCAGTACTTAGCGGCATTTGTGCTTGCCTCTGCCATCCCCTGACTGCTTGAGGCTAGCCACCTCCTCTCAGGTTCCGCATCTTCTGCCGGGCTGGTAACTCTCTACCTTTGTCCCCATGGGTGACGGGATTGGGGGCGGAGGGGTCGAGAGTACAAGGCCTGTGCAGTGTCCCCTCAGCAAGGATGGCCTGAGGCCTGGACAGCGGTGGGGGGAAGGGTCCTAGGGAACCTATCAGCAGGGCTGGCCCCGCCAGCTTTTCAGTGGACATGCTTATGTCGAAACCTGAGCACTTGGAGAGGGTCCTGGTTTGGCTCTTAGACACCCAACTTCCCAGCCCTGTGGCTCACGAACCCCGAGGAACTGGGGCGGGTGGGGGGGGTTGTGAGCCCCCTGGGGTATTTGTGCAGTTTGTGGGTATGGGGGAATGTCGGCTGAGGTGGTTTCAAAGCCTTCATTCAGCCTTAGATGATTCTTAAGGGGTCTTTGTCTCCCACGCCGTCAGGTTTGAAGGATCTAGTCTCACACCTCATCCAGTCACCTGCCCATCAGGGCTTCCTTTCTTATCAGCCCAGGATGGAAGGGAAATCACCTGACATCTCAGAAGACCTACTGAACCTGAAAAACCAACGGCGCCATCCAGAGCCTTCA